TGACTGTTCACTGACAGTATGAAAGACTCCGGTCACTAACCTTCATAGAATACCTTCATTTATTCTCTTTAATGGATAATGTATTCATCCATAGTGAAAACCATAATCCCACCTAACTGTGACTGAGTACTGAACCTGGTACTTTTTTTGTATTTTGTGAGTTCCAAAATGTCACTGTAGCACCAAGTGTCTGAAGTCCACATCTGGTCAAACTTTTATTTTGATTTTCTTTGGATTTCCTAAGACTTTCATATTGTTTTTGCACCAACATAAAAAATGTTTGAATGATAGCCAGCCCTGAAACTTCAGGCTTCAGAAAAGGAAACCAGTCAGTAAGAAAATTAATGGAAAAACATTCTTAACTTTAGTAAGAGTCAAGTAAATTCAGAGTAGTGTGAAACTAAACAACAATACAGAATGAGATAACAGTTTAACTATATTATATTTTTAAGTAAAATCTATTCCAGCTAGTCTTTTATCAAAATATTGATATAACATGTTTTACACAAATTACTTCATATATTATAAATTTTCAACTGTCAGTAAAACCGAATACATAGTTTTGTTGTCATCAGACATGTGCTTCAGCAGTGTTGCAAACTCTTTTCATTTGTTTGTTCCATCAGAACTGAGTAACTTCATTTTTTGTCCTTTGCAAACAGTCAACACGGGAGTCACCAGACCTCCTCAGCTCACTAACACAATGCTAATATATTTCCCAGAGGGCCTTTGTGTTTCTGTGCCATTGTTTGTGTTTAATTTGACTGTTTTCTACATGTTGACGTCACATCGTCAGTTGATCAAAGGCTTCCCTCAGATGAGCCTCCTCTCCTTCCTCACAAATAAAACTCTTCTGTGCTTGTGTGCCGCCTGCTGTTCTCACATTCTGTTACATAGGTGTAGCGCCTCCCATTGGACAGAGGCTGCACTACACTCTGACTTGGCTTAGGCCTCCATTTCTAGCTGTATACTTAATGACTTCATATGTACACAGATTCTTTACATACATATTCTCTTATTGTGTTGCTTCTGCTGCCACTGATACCGACTACTAGTATTAGGCTACTGCCACTGTTGTTACATTTGTCACTACATAGTTTTTCATAATATTACTGTTTTTAGAATTGGTAGGACAAATGTTATAAACTAATAACATTACAATTATTACTCTTGCTACTGCTGCTACTGCTTCTACCACTTCAACTACTAGACCTACTTGTATAAACACTAGCACTACCACTGTCACACTGTTGTCACCGCTAAGTACAATGGCAGATGTTCATTTCTGCTACTGTAATATGTTTATACTATTATCATTGCTCTAACGGATGCTGCTGTCTGTGCTGTTTCTAGTACTAATACTTTACTGCTACACAGACTCATTAACAGAAGTCATTATTAATATTATTAATGACTGCTACATCCTTAACACTGCTACAGATGTTGCTATTGCAGTTATCACTATCTGCTTTGACTATATTATTGTTACTGCCACTAGTTCTACTACTGCTAGTATGACTCAAACTATAACTTCTACAGTTTCTGATCCCAGTCTGACTGATACAGTAGCTCTGCTCCTACACCTACTTTTGCACTAGTACTGCTGCTGTCACATACTTATACACTGTAGTTTTAAAGTTATGTCTGTTTATATTAAATAACAGAAGTTAATGGATTGTAATCCTGATATAAATGACAGTAATGTACATAGTGGTAAGACTGTGCAGCTCTATGTGTATCTACGAAAACGCACTGTGTTTGTTCAAGAAAGGAACCGTGCAGTGTGAAGGGAGTTCACAAGTTAGTCAGGAATATTTAATGTGGGAAAGTTGAGACTGCTGTGTCAGAGAGTGGGGTGTTCTGAGGGATCGGGAAGTGAGACCAGAGAGATGATGGCTCAAAACCTAAGACCAGAAGGGACATTTATTTCTACCCCACAGTAACCTCTGAAAAAAAAAAAAATGTTTTAAAGTATCAAAGCTAATTCAGTAACGTAAGTTTTAATGATAATGTGGTGCTGTGTAGCAGTCCCCAGTGTTTTTTCAGGCAAATCTCTAATAAAAACAGAGAACAACGCCTTGTCCTGTATTGTCACTGAGTTCAGCTGTTGCTCACAGTGTTTGTTCAGGGAAAAGACACAGTATACAACAGTAGCAACTGAGGGGAAAGGCTTCTACGATGTGTTCACAAAAAAATCGAATTCTCTATGCAGCAATTCTGCTAGTTCACTGACATTGTCATTCTTTTTCAGCATGTGCTCCATGTTAGCTTATTTATATCTGTTTATATCACAACATGACTTTATGAACCACAGACAAGTTTCTGGGATTCCTTTTTTATTTTAAAGTGTGAATATATTATTAAGATTTCGAATCCTACTGAGTATAATCAGCTATATTTAATGTGAAGCATGTTTAGTGAAGAATTGTTTAGTATAGTTTAAAGGTATGGCTGGAAATAAAGCTGTTTTATTGATTTACCAACATTATACTGTTTTCTAATTTTGCAGTTTCCAGTACACAAATAATCTGAATCCGATATATAGCTACAACAATTATAGCTACAAAGACCATCATTTATTTAGGACAAAGTCCAATATAAAAGTGCATGTTTTATCATAGATAATTTTAGCTGTCAAATGTGACTGTGTGAATGGTATTTCAAGAGTTCATGTAGCAAGTAGAGTTGAATAGCATGCTGTAAAATAAATGTTACTGTGTTTGTGTGTTGTCAGTCTCTTTCAGAATAAAGGCTGTAGGCAGCTGCTGTCCACTGAGCAGTTTGATCTTCAGGAGAAGAAGAAAAAGAACAGGAAAAAGAGCTGAAGAGAAGCTCCAGTCTTCAGATAGCCACTGTAAGTGACCACAGCAGGACAGGACATCATACACACTGCTTACAACAGGTCAATAAAATCATACTGTATCACTGAGACAGATGTGTATTTATACAGCACATTTCTCACTAAAGTAACAAAGTGCTTCACACAAGCCAGAGTAAAACACCATAGAAAAAATGCAGAGTTGAAACAATCATTCGGACACATTATTCGCTCCTTTGGTTCTTGCTTTACTGTAACTTCATTCTTTCACATGATTTGTGAGTATGGCCATCTGCAAACTTTGTGTAGTAAACAATTGTGTGTGTTTATTGTGCTTGTTAGGAGCTTCAGGCCTCTGTCACTGAGTGTTTGGTCCAATCAGAGAGATTAGTGTTCCAGGAGGAGGCACTGAGCGCACTTCGTAACCTCCTGACCCAAGACGTGCAGAGGTACCAGGAAGAGGCCCAGAGACTGACCCGTTTCACACACGGTACCTGGACAATCCCACAGGTTTGCAACATTCAGATTCACAAATAAATGATTATTTGGTGTAACACTAATGACCTTCACTATCTTTAAACATTTATCTTTATGTTTCTCCTTCAGGCCAGACAGAGGGGGTATCCTTAACCAACAGACAGTGTGACCGCAGCATGCAGGAAAACACCGAGACTGAACAAGACAACAGCATGGTACAGTTTTACTTGGCATCCACAGCTCCTCTCTAATCTGGTGTCTTACCCCTTTGTTGGCTGGAGTTTCAGAGCTTTACTCAGCTTTATTTTTTTCACAGTGGGCTTAACACTGTTGTTGTGCATCTCCTATGCAATTCTCCTTCCATATTTATAAAATAATGTTTGAGCAATACAGAAGAACTGGAGCAAAACTTACTGAATTTAAGCAGCACTGATCAGAATTTTTATACAACTTTGTGGGAACTGTACAAACTGCAGTCTTGACTTGATTAGAAATCTGAGGTGTACAGTACACTTCAGTCATTGGTGTTTCATTATCAAACACTTCAGATGTCTTTTAATATGAATCCAAATAATCCATAATCATGTTTCATCTTATTTCTACAACAGAAGTAAAGTCATAATGCAAACCAGCCTTTTTGGGTTGTAACCATTTGAAAAGAAGCAAATACCTGCTGCTGATCTCTCCTCAGGTGGCTTTATTTCAAGCACTTTTGAAATTCCTAAGAGATAAAACTGTCCTTCATTTGACAAGTTGCAGTGAGTGAACTTCCAGAACAGATTTGCACATAAATAAATGCAATAAATTCAATAAAAGCAAATCTTGCTAAAATAGCCAACAGAGCAAAAATATAACCTGGAAACGTCCTTTGACAGGTTGCAGTGAGTGAATTTCCAGAACAGATTTGCAAATAAATAAAGGCAATAAATTCAGTAAAAGCAAATCTTGCTAAAATACCCAACAGAGCAAAAATATAACCTGGAAAGATATGTCTTACTGCAGTCTCTCTCTCTGTGTGTGTGTGTGTGTGTGTGTGTGTGCGTGTGTGTGTGTGTGTGTGTGTGTGTGTGTGTGTGTGTGTGTGTGTGTTACCAGTCAGAGTAGAGACAGAGGAAACATCTGCCTGCTCATCTGGCTCTGTCTGTCATACACACACAGAGATGTAGACTTAGACACACACATACACAGGTTCTCTCTTTTTGTTCCCCCCCCAAAAAATAAATAAATACCTGACACGGTTGTGACAGGAAATGATGAGGGAAGAAACCTGGTTTGGAGTCTTATTATAACAGGAAACCTGTCAATGTGTCATCACAGTTTAACTCGTGAAGTTTAAACACAAACAGCACACAGGCTGGCTGCCAGCGTTCTGCATCGCCCGCACAGAAGTACAACATGCAGCGCGCTCATCGCTTTCAGTTTGTACAACCTTTCATTGAAAATTTTAGTAATGCCAAAAATCTGCCATCTGAGTGAATTTTTAGTAGATTCAAAATGTGGACTTAAGAATTTTGTAGGTTGCTTCTTCATATTTAACAGCTGCTGTGGCTGAATTAATTCTGCGTTAGTGACAATCAAATTCAATGGGTTGCAGTTAGATAGTTAAGAATCGGCACATCTGTTAGGGCTTTTCAAACAACTTCTCCAGTGCAGTCTCGTTCTTTTCTGTCCCATCATCTGTTTGAAAACACTCCTTTCTACTAAAACAACTAACTGTACTAACTACACTACTTTCTCACTCCTCTTCTTGTTTAGTCTTTTTAAGTTCTTACTACTGGAGTGTCTTAATGACAGGTGATAGGTGAGATAGTACCTAGTCTTGATAAAGTTTTCTGACCTGCCGTGTCTGTGGTTAAGGGTTGCTTAAGTTTAGCCAACTACAAGGAGGAGAGGAGATATCACCTTAATGGTCAGAAGAAACAAACACTGACGGCACACAGGGTGGTTCCTGCTGTAAAATACATCTGTGTGTGTTGGCACCAGAACTGGAGACTTGAGTCTTGGATTCGAATCTGACTTGGGTCACACAAGTCTTCAGTCACAGGACTTTTGACCGATCTCGTTTGCGTTTAAGCTCGACTTTAGACTCGAAAGCTGAGGAGAGTCACAGTGCTGCTGTGAGTGCCACTTACAAAGTCACCCTTTGATTCAATATTTAAACTGGGTGTTCAATGTATCCCTTCCATATTTTTTGAAGTATTCGTTTTACTGAATAGTCCATAAAACTTGGGTTGTCAAAGTCATGTATCGAGTCTTGAGAGCTGACTTGGAGCTGGCTCTGAATTTTAGAAGGCAACTTGATCCAAAGGGCTTAAAAACAACTGTTGATGCATCAGGGCTATTTTCCAGTATTATTGACTGTCATCTCTTCAGAAAAAGTTTCATCACATTAGCTACAGGTTACTATATTAGGTTACTATATCTTGACCTTCTGTATGTACAGTGTGATATCAATCCGTGCCACTCTCCGCAAGGCAGCTTTCATTTGTTTTTGCACAGTGCAGAGCTCTTCATGGGTTTCTGAATGTGTACATTCAACATTAGCTATTATTTAACCAATCTGCAAAAAAGTTTGACAAAAATATACACACGTCGCATCGTCATTGATTTAATTTCCTGACAGCTGAAGTCACTTCTAAAGTGGATTTTAAAGGAAATAGGTCAGACCCTGATGCCAAAAGTAAATTGTTTGTAAAACAAGAGGCATGCTGTGTCTGTCTGCTGGGCCCCAGTGCAGAGAGCTACTGTACCACAGAGGGATCTACCTTCAGCCTGCTGTCTCATGCTGCATCCTGCTGATCTAGACTAGCTGTCCTGCCCTACGAGAGGTGCAGTAACCTTTTTATCCGATTATTGTGGTTAATCTGATGGAAAATGAGCCAGGATTTGTATAATCACATCATTTTTATTAGATATAAATCTAATAGATTTAGATTAGATTGAAAAAACAGGATTTTGTACATTCGGTGATCCATCCAGGATTTGTTCATTGTAAGATGAAGAGTGTGTGCAGTCTGCTGAATGGGAGGTGCTTCCCCAAAAAGCATTCTTAGCAGTTATCAGAAACATACAAATCTCCCAATAACCCCATAAAACCCACAAACCCCTCAAACCTAAAGGGTGAACACAGGTGCAGTTAGTCATCAGTTGAGACCATCTGAGGTGTAAAACAGGCAAAACCTCTGCAGCCCTTCATACTCATGGGAAAAGGCTTTGGAAAAATAAAGATCAGTCTGGGATGAGAGGTAGTGATCGTTTTTTGTTTTGTTATTGTTTGGTTCTATAGAATCGAGTGTTGAAGGGACACATCTGCAGTTTGTAGGACAAATGAAGGAGTTTTATGCCAACACACCATTGTTGTGAATTTCTCCACAGTGTAATTTAATGGTTATTTCTCATGTGACAGAGTGCTTCACTTTTGCCTTTTGACTGTGACCCATTGACTTTTTTTTTTTTTGACAATTGATCCAACCCCATTATTTGCCCCATATTAGGCAAATAATTATTTTCGTTATTGATTAATCTACGGATTATTTTCTCAATTAAACAATACATTTTTTGGTTTATAAATAAATGAAAATTGTTTTATCACATAAAATAAATAAAAGCAGCAAACTCATACAAGAGAAAACCTGGGATCTGAGAGTTTGTGACATTCTTACTTGAAAAATGATAAAATGATTAATTGATTATTTGTTATGTAACTTAGCTAATGATTAATTGTTTCAGCTCTACATATATTATTCATTCGTTGCTGTGTATGGCTTTTTAAATAATCCATAGTAAATACAGTCTGTGGGGACCCTTAAACTATTTTTAAATTAACATATTTAACATATCATTAATAGATTTAGCATATTTGCTAGGCTCCACTGATCATTACTGTTGTTCCCACATTAAAGAAAGAAACATTCAGGAATAGTTTGAGCAGATTTCAGACTGACTGGGGACAAATATTCCTGTTAAAGGGGATCATAATTGGCTAAGCAGAGTGTGAAAACAGGCAGGCCTTAAGGTGAGGACAGAGCGCTGGTTGCTTGATTAATCTGTATTATTTACAGCCGGGGGAGGGACAGAGTTGGGGGGTGCCACAACAACAGCATAGGAACATATTGCCAGGCAGATTGCCTCAGGCCAAACGGAGCTTGATGTTGTGCTCTGTGTGAGAGACGTGCATGTCCAACACAAACTGCTGCCACTAATTGCTTATTTATTTTATTTTTTTATTACACTGTTGTTTTCGCTCTCTCTCTGCCACAGTGACAGTTTTGTTTTGGTGTGAAAAACCGCATTAAAATACATCTGCTTGTTTGCATCTGTGTCACTCTGACAACTAGGACAACAGTTAAGTTATTTTATCACTATTTGATGTTAAAGTGACTTGTTTCATATTAATGGATGATGAGAGGTAGTAATGGGAGAAGAAAGTGAAGAAAAGTGAAATGTAAGCAAGGAAAGCTGCGAGCTTGAAGAAGCAGTCAGGGTTCAAGTCATGTTTGTGAGACTTTCTTCAGATACATTTCGAAGTGAAGACGGTGCCAGGCAGGATCTCACACACACACACAGTCTACACATGATAGTGCAGGCAGGCATGCCAACATGCACAGTAATAATCTTTCAGCTGCGTAAAGCGTTCTGCTTAAATCTGTTCCAAGAGAAGCAACCAAGAGGAACTTGAAAACAACCAAAAGCCTGACAGTCACTCAGACCTCTAGAAAACACCTTAAGAGAGCATAAAGGCACATTTAAAAGCTAGAAAACAACCCAAAGAAGCTAGAAAACAAAAATGACAGGTAAAACTGAAACTGACATCCTAAAATGCTAAAGGTCAGTCATGAAAGGGAACACAAAGAGCTAGAAAACCACTTTGGAAAGCTAACAGTCAACCTTAATATGCTGGAAAACAACTATAAAAATAGTTTAAAGCAGAACAGAGCCATATTGTAGACAGCCTAAAGAAACTAGATAACACTCAAAGGAGAAAGCATAACAATGGCCTAGAAAGCAAGAAGAAGTTGGAAACAACCCCTGAAGAAGAAAACCAGGGGAAGCTAGAAAATAAACAGGAGCTGGAAGACCCCCAAGGAAAGTCAAAAACAATTCAAAACAGTTCTATCAAAGAAAGCTCTGACAAAGATTTCCATCACCTTTCAAACCAAATTTGACTTGGTAATTATATCTCAGCAATGGAGCTGCAGTGACAGTTAAAGGACCAGTGCACTAATTTTACACATCAAGATTAATCAACTAGTCCAGAGGAGCGCTCTAGTGAAAACAGTTGTGCAATGTGATGTTGTCAGGGATACCTCAGCTTGGGCTCGGCTGTTCAGAAATATGCAATCAAGTTGCATTATGGGAAATGTGCAGTCAAATCTATGGTGTTGGGTATTTGGACCATACTATTCACTAAAAGTCAGGATATCTTAGTTTGATCTTCAACTGGCCCATCTTATTTTTCTCTCACAAATCGCCCAGCTTTGTGAAAGTGCAAAAGTAAATCAGCAGAGTGCCTCTTTAATGAATGTGAAGTTTAACATATTTTTTCTCAAGATTTAATATGAATATGTCTAGGTTTTTGTGATGCATTGCTGAAACATGTCACTTAAAAAACCTAACAAAAAAAAACTGACATTTGCCCTTACCCTGACAGATGTTACTAATTAATTATGCCATAAGATGTCTTTTAAAAACTGAAATGATTGTATTATGTGTTGACAGAGAAGATAATGTTTTCTCATGAAAGTGGAGCAGAATAATCGTTCTTAAAGCTTGAAAACTGACAATGAGCCTAGATTCTCAGATCAGGATATTGTAGTACATTCACTTTTGGATAATAAATCAGAGTAGCACATTCAAAACAGAAATCCTCTTCCACCTCACCTGAACTTTTATTCTGGAGTGAAACCCTGAGCACTTCTGCACCAAACATCATGGAGACATTCACTGGTTTTCCCAGGGTGCTTTGCTGTCTTCTATCTGGGTCAGATGGTGTACAGCTCGATGCCATATGTCTGCACTGTAGTGAGGCCGTTGGGAACCGAGGACTAATGTTTATTTGTGTATGTCCAGGACTATAGCGAATATGGACCTGGGTTTCCTGAATGAAGCTCTGTCTTTCGTGACTTTCTGTGCGATTGTTCTGTTTTGCTGAACATTTGTTTCTGCGTCTCATAAAAACTAAATTCAGATTTCCTGTGCAGGTTTATTTAACTGAACCAATTCAGGATGGTTGAGTGTGTACAAAGTATCTGTCCATTTGTACAGGATTTGGTATAATTGTGTTCAGAATTGTTTGGGGATTTAATTTGATGTATATAACCAGAAAAATAAAAACACTTGTACAATGTAATGCAAGCCAGTAAAGCAGCCCTCATGCAAGTCTTAATGCCATCATGATGTTGTATGGAAGAGCTTTATACTGAAAGGAAACTCTGGTATTCACCTTGTATGCTGTACAAATATATGAGTCAGCATAAAAATACTGTGAAAAAAAAGTCTTTAGTTTATGAAAACAGGTGTGGTGGTTAGTGCTGTGGTCTCACTGCAAGAAGAGTCTGGGTTTGAGCCCCGGCCAATCCGGTGCCTTTCTGTGTGATGTTTGCATGTTCTCATGGAAGAGCTTTATACTGAAAGGAAATTTGCATGTTCTCCCTTTGCGTGGATTTTCTTCGCATACTCCACCTTCCTCCCACAGCCCAAAGACATGCAGCATAGGTTGACTAGTGACTGTCATCCCTGTGATAGACTGGCGACCTGTCCAGGGTGTACCCTGCCTCTCGCCCAGTGTCAGCTGGGATTGGCTTCAGCACCCCCAGTCTTAGAAATCTTCTGCAACCCTACCTGCTACCCAGGTGACAGCATGAGGGATCTTGAACTGAATGTTGAGAAACTCATCACAGTAAATGCACTGCACATAAGGAAAGAAATACAAGAACACAGTTTCTGTAATGAATACTGTGCCCCAGTAGCCTCATTCCATGAGGCTCAGAGCCCAGACTGAGCATGCTCAGCTCACAAGGCAAATTTAATAACATTAATAATCACAGCTCAGTGCTAATCCCACCACAGCCTGTAAACATTTTAATACTGTAGTGATTAGCAGTGATCCTACAGTATACCCTAGACACCCACCCTCCCCTTCAGCCCTCTCAAGCCACGGCTCTTCTCACACCCAAGACTCAGTTAACTGTCCCTGGGGGAGGTAGCCAGGCAAGTCCCTGGATTAAGGCCACTCCATGCTTTGGAGCTTTGAGCCCTCAGAGTTAATCCCCTGGATGCTCTCCACTTCATTTTTCTAAGTGGTCTCAGCCTTCTTGTTATGACTGCTAATTAAAGTTCTATTTATTCAAGTGGCATTTTGGCAAAAAAACGAAAAATGCTTCCATTTGTTTGCTTTTTCTCTATTGCTCACTTGATCATTGAGAGCATTTTTTAATGTCGGTATCTTTTGGTATCTGTACAGTATATCTGTCCTTTTACTTCTGCATGAGAAAGTGAAATGGGGGATGGGGGGGCTCACTTGATCGAGCAGATGTTGCAGTTTGTCAAGAGGGAATGTCAGGACACACACACAGCAACTACACACTGTAAAGAGAGGAGACAGAGAGAGAGAGAGAACACAAAGGTCCCAGGTGTAGAGACTACACTTTCACCATCAGTGTGCTGCTTCCAGTGACTCTTTATAGTAATTTGAACTAGAAAGTGTCGGGCTTATGTTCAAGATTTACTTAGTGTTAATTTAAACTAATGACTACATTTATAGCAAGACTGTGCACTGTTAGTTCTGTAAAGAGGTAACACAACCGTCCTCTTTTGCCACTGCAGCTTTAATTGACCTGGTATGATAACAGTGACCGGAACACCCATTCCACTCAGTCTTCTCATTGGCTGGCAACACTGCCCACAATGGTCTAATATACCTACTGTAGAAAAATTAAACTAACAGCTAGTGTAGTCTGAACTGTGTGGTAAATTTATATTTTTCTGTCTTATAACACACCACTAACCGCTGCTTATACTCCTGCTTAACAGTTTTTGGAGATCTGTTATTGTGTTCACCTCTTTCAGCACAAGCACAAATCCTCCTCTTCCCAGTCACCAATTAATCCGCACCAGACCACCAATGAAGAAGAGGCCTGGAGAGCCAGACATAAAAAAATGTGTCCAGTCCTGTCTCACAGTACAAACCTGCACCAAGCCAGCGGCATCAAAGGCCTTATCAATAAATTCTCTGGTCCAGATCGAGTCCTTCCTTACGGTTCTGCTCAAAGTCCTTATTTTGGAGCAGGACGAATCCTGAAGTTTGCTTCTGCTGGGACTCTTGAGTCTCCAGAGTCCAAGTCCAGTCTGTCCATGCCAAGCAGCGTTGGGCCAAAGCAGATGTCAGTTCCCATCATCACTGTGACTCCTCCGTTCAAGGAAACCAGTCACAACGGGGCTGAATCAGCTCTAAGAGGCACCAAAACTAGTCAGATCACTGCCAGAATTGATTGTCCAGTAGGAGGGAGTGCGGAGAAGACTGATTCAAAACACTCTGGTAGAGACTCAGTGGCTGACTCTGGCATGGGATCGGTAAGCAAAAAAAAAAAAAAAAAAAAAAAAAACCCTTTCATAAACTGAAAAACCAACATTTTT